CCATCTTATTGCTTGGGATAAAGGCTGCTCCCCCATTGCACAGGGTGGCCTTGGCATTCGAAGATTGAAACCCAATGCAGGTGGAGATAAGGCACCCAAACCGAGCATCTTTTGTGTCAGGTCATTTTCCACAAATATTGTCACAGTAGCAAGGTTTGGACCCCTCCTTGTAGGACCACAGGCAGCATTTCAGGTATTTGGAGATCCATTATGCGGAGTAGGGACCTTTTTCTTGCTAATACCCGCTTCCATCCTCGGCTGGGGGACAAGTACACCTCTGGAATAAACTTTGAGTACAGCTTTGGAATGAACTTTGGCTAGGTTCCTCCCCTTTGCGAGACCTTTTGCCCCTCCTGTCTCACCTCGCTAAGAACCCCCACGCTACTGCAGTTGATTACTTCCCTTTGGATATCCCATGAGTCGTGGAACCCCGACCTCCGAAGTGCCCTCTTGGACCAGGAGATTGAACTCCGCCCTCTTGGACCAAGAGATTGAGGAGTTCACAGCTCTTACAAAGCTCCTTGATCAAGTTTTCTTACCTCTCCAGGTGACAACAATCTCATTTGGGCCCCCTCCCCTTTAGGCTCCTTTACCGTGGCCTCAACGTACCGGAAGATCACTTCCCCCTTCCCTTTTTCCCCCATAACCCCCCATCCATTGCTGCCAAAGCTTGGTTTTCCCTCGTTCCTCCCAAAATGCAGATGTTTTCATGGATTGCCTTGTCCCGAAGGGTTCTTACCATAGTTACTGGAATCTCTCCATCGACCTCACGTTTCTAGTTTTAAAACCCGATTCCACGTTTCTGTTAAGAAATCTCCACGAAAACCGTTTTTCGAAACCAAGGAAACTCAATTCCTTAATTTTGAAATCTCGATTCGCACATCTTCAGAAACCGTTTTTTGGAACCAAAGAAACTTGATTCCTTAATTTCAAAATCTCGATTCAACACATCTTTAGAAACTATTATCGGAACCAAGAAACTTGATTCCATAATTTCAAAATCTCGATCCAACACATCTTTAGAAACTTAAACCCATTAATTGTGGATAGATGTTCCCAAATATATCGAATCTAGATTCCAACGACGATTAAATCTTGATTCCACATCAATTGGAGTAGATATCTTCCTTCGAATGCTTCCAGTGGTTGCAGGGTTTCATTATTTTACTTGTGCCACCCTGAATGGCCTTTACTTTAAATTTAAAATATAATTCGTAAATACAACACATACAATTAAAAATAAAACCATAACATAGACATAATCCTATTTTTTCTTTATAATAATGAAGTCAAAATCACAATTTAGAAATACTTGTCTTTTGTATATAATGACTGCAAGTTCAATAGTCAACACAATCATTTTAAAATTTGGAAAACCTTCTAATAAGAGACATCCAATATATGTTCTAAAGTTGGTGAGGCGCAGGATGTGCTTGTGGCTTCCATCTCCATAAAAATGAAATCTCGATTCCTGGTAGGGATCGTCAAACGCATTCCATAGTCCATATTATTGTAAATCTCGATCTCAAACTGGCATGGATCTCTGATCCATATACTTCAAAAACTTGCTTCCAAATATGTTATAATCATGATACGAAATAACAACATATCTCCGTTCCACAAATGTCAGAAACTCGATTTCGTTTATTAATAAATCTTGACTCCTGGAGTGTCAATTCCAGGGGGATGGAAATCTCGATTCCAAGGAAGACAAAATCTCGATTCCAGATGTGGATGAAACTTGGATCTATTTCGGTCAAAACATGATTCTCATTTCCAGCGATTCCTATTGTACGGACCACGATTCCTAAGACAGGAATCTTCTAGCCGGCCACAATGCGATTCCGGTTCCTAAAACGATTCAGGTTCCTAGGCGTTTCCAACAACTATGGTTCTTACCATTGATCACATCCAAAGGGGAGGCCTTCCCTTGCCTATAGGTGTGTAATGTGCACTGCAGCTGAGGAGACTCACGATCACCTCTTCCTCCACTGTGAATTTGCTGCACCCCGATGGAGAAAGTTGTTACACCTTTTCAATTGGACAAGGGTCACTCCGCAATCAATCCCCACCTCTTTTGGACTTCCCTCTCTCCCCCATGGTCCAAATCCGGTCTCTCTCTTTGGAGAGCCTCAATTGTTGCTGCTATTTGGACCATCTAGATAGAGCGAAACAATAGGATTTTCAGGAAGGAAAGTAGATCGTCCCAACAAATGCTCTGACAAAATCCTTGAACTTGTCATCTTTTGGGCTTCTCACCACAAGACCTTTCAAAAAATTTCCCTCTCGGATTTTCTCCAAAAATGGCAGGCCTTGCTGTACTTGCGAATCATCAACATTTCTCGATCCTCCTTGTAAAGACCCCCTGACAGAGGCATCGTCAAGTTCAATTTTGATTGCAATTGCTGCTCCCTCACCAACCCAGGCCCACCGGGTATTGGTGGGATCTTTAGACCCCACAATGCCAACAGCCTCCTCTCCTTCTTCATCCCCATCGGCCACGCTGACTCCATGTTTGCCAAGGCCCTGGCTATCCTCATCGGCCTCAGAAAGTTTAACCCTGACTGAGGGGACATTTTGATTGTAGAAGGCAACTCCAAGAATACTATTTCATGGGTGTCAGCTTCCACCCCCTGGCCCTGGCATTTGGCTCATATTTTCGACAAAATTGCTCACGTTTCCAGCACCCTTACCATCCCGTGGAAGCATATCCGGAAGGAAGCTAATGCTGATGCAGACTTTCGTATCAGGCAGGGTGCTTCCAACAATGTTTCAGAGTGGTCCCCCAGCACCTTTTTGAGCTATTGAACCCCTTTATATTCCTTCCCCCTTGTGATTGATTGTACAGTTCTCTTTGGGATTTTTTGGGTCCCCTGTAGGTTTGTTTGGGGCCCCCAACTGTTTTGGGGAGCTTATTTTTTGGACTGTCGTTGTTACTTGTAATACTTTTTTACTTAATATAATGCAGTTACCAGATTCAAAAAAAATTAAAACAGTACCGACTCTTCTAGAAAGAACACTGACAGTACCACCAAGCAATGAAGCAATTTCACTATAGTCACAGTGTCACACTAAGATGAACGACACAGCCAGGACGCCTAGCATCTACCTGGCCCTGCAAGACCCCATCACTAAAATATAGAACCCCAGAAAGGTTTCATTACCTCCTCAATTGAAGGTTACACCACCTCATACCTAGTCTCTCCTATTTCCCTAGCTATCACCATAGGTGAACCACTTCTCCTTCTCAACTCCTTTCATGCAACAATTTGTATTGAGTAAGACAGAAACCTAATTTTCAAAAGATATAGTCAATCATCATTAGATCAGTGGAATTGCTATAAACTGCCGAATCCACAGTGGCTTGATGGTGATCACCCCTTGCAAGTACATCTTTTTTCTATTGGGGCATGCAACACTATCATTACCTTATCTGAGGTTAAACAACATTTGACCCCATCTGCCAACTTAGCCTTGATAGCAACTACTGCCAAGTCATTCTAAACCAAAACCCCAACCCCTTCCTCAGAAACTAATAAACTTGGGCATCCTCGTATACAAACAATGCTGATCAAATCAGTACCATATCAATTCTTTTAGAATGATAAACTTATGCTCGAGAATAGACTTCACTTACTAAAAACCAACTTACCAAATCATGTACCACAGTCTATTATATGGGATCAAGTTCCTAAGAAACCATGTAACAGACACGCATAAAAGTGCAATCATATAATATGCAAGGGGGATAATTAGATCATATTAGTTTGAAAGTACAACCTTACTCAAAACTGAAGTGTAACATGCTCCTCACCAATCAAAAAGGGGGAAAAATATGAATAATATTATCTCCTACTTAACTCTGCTAACAACTACTGCCAAGTCATTCTCAACCAAAAGCTCAACAACACAAACGCCTTCCAGAGACACTAATAAAATTGAGCATCCCCAGCTGTAACATTTTAAGTCAGTATACAAAACATAGAGGTCAATAGTGATCAAGTTAGTAATACATCCAATCTTACACAATGATAAAGGTTTTCACCCACTAAAAACTAATTTAATAAAGGGAAAATTATCACTAAAATGGCAAACGACTTCACAAAATCATTAAGGTAGTCAAATTATCCAATTTAACATTGGATTGGTTACTTTCTGAGTTTAATTTCACTCAGGTACCTCCTAAAAAAAATATGTTAATCATCATCATCGTCATTCTTTTACCCTTTGCCTAATTAATTGTGGTCGGCTACATGAATCCTGGTTCTCCATTCTGCTCTATTAAAGGCCATATCCAAAAATAATAGTCATAATAAAGGACCAAATTCCCCCTATTCAGGATTGGGCATTTTGGTAATTTGGGTCCACTTCAGTGGCCTGAGCTAAATGACGATAATATTCAGTTGTTCAAGGTTAGCAACATGGAAATGCCAAATTACAATAATACCCTGATTGGGCTGGGTTAGAAACACAATTCTTTCCCCAAAAAAAGTAACATAACTCACTTTTTTATTGTATATTCTTGTTATGTGTTGCTAACCGTGAAAACTCAATCACTTAAGTAGTCTAAATTGTCAAAATATTCCCAATCTGAACAATTTGGTAAATTTCTAACTATTTTTAAGGAGGTACCTAAGTGAAATGGAACTCAAGGGTGATTTGACCATCATATTAGTTTTTTTAAGGTGATGTGTTAGCTTTTTTAAAGTAAATTTTTAGTTTTTTTAAGGTAAATTTCCTTTAATAAATCATGAGGCACAATGGTCAGATGGGATCAAGTTCCCAAGAAATCAGACATATAAAGAGAGATATCATACAACATCCAAGGGAGAACACTAGATCATATAAGTGCGTACATAACACCTGACTCAAAACCAAGCATAACATGCTCCTTATATTAACAATCAAAAGGGGAAGAAGAAATACTCAAATTTAAAGCTCACATCCATAACATGCTTCCAGATTATGGCATTTGGAAGAATGGAACAATGAAAACATACCATTGTGAAAGACTTTTCGTGTCCAATATGCAATGCAGGGAAATATATTTCATCCCCAGATTCCAAGGACTCCTCTGAATTAGCCTGAAAAATCATTAATTAATACAACACAAATAATGATATACCACGAAAAAAAGCACAGACAAGTGATAAAAGATTGTATGCTCTAGGCCTGTGGGTACAGAGATTGCAGCATAAGGCATAACATCTAAGGTTCAAATCCTGGATCAATCACCACAAAAACAAAAATTCAAGAGGCAAGTTGTGACTCAAACCAAAACAATACCACGCAAAATATTCTTGGACTAATGCTATATTTGCATCTTCGTCGATATATTGTACATCCAATCAGTGACCCTAGAGTACCACCATGTGCTACAATATTTGTAACCTCAAAATCTACGACTGGCATTTTGACAGCACTACCCAAAGGTATTCCATATTCTCATTGTTAATTATTTTAGGAAAATTTACAGAAAACTGGAAATCCCATGCAGTATCATGACATGATCCATTTTTTCCTGAAATGTATGGGGAGGTCCTATTCACTTGATTTTTGTTACTTTTTCCAGTTTCACCCCTACACTCTCATACAGCCTACAGTGTGAGGAAAAAAAAAATGACCAGTCCGATGTTGCTAACATTAGACCGAAGGGCAAAACTGCAAAAAAAAAATCAAGTGAGTAGGACCTCCCGTGAATTTCAAGAAAAATTTGAATCATATCATAATACTGCATAAGTTTTCCATTTTTTACTATAGAATTTCCATTATTTCTTTTCTATAGAATTTCCATTATTTTAAAATAACTCGAACAAATATCAATCAATCGTTACTGTTTTAAATTTTAATATGCAAATCATAGTAGGGCTGCATCTTGATATTGACAAACCTAACAATCAGTGCATAAACAACTAGGTTGGGACCAAATTTAAATGAAAACCAATTTGTAGGTACATGTGATGCACAAATAGCATAACAAAAAAAGAAAAAGAATCAAATGGAAAAACTCATGTTTGATACATTAAAAATGTTATCACAACCGCTAAGAAGGATAAGACAAACAATTAGAGCGTAGACCATTTAACCTTGACCATTGTTTAAAACTCACCAAGTCTGACTTGGACTAGCAGGCTGGCAGCCTACCGAGTCCAAAGGACCCCAACGAGTTGCTACAATTAGTTGGGCAGTTACATGCCAAACTCGGACGAGATCAAAGGATTCAGGCGAGTTAAAACTAGTGTAGGGAAGCATGAACCAGGAATGGAACCCGGCCCTGGGCCAGGCCAAGTAACCCAGACCGGGTCCCAACTAACCCGGCCCTAACCAGGTATGTGGCCACAAAGTGTTTAAAAAAATAATAGATATATATAAAATCCTAAAAAATACGAAAAATATGTTGACAAGGAAATTAAACAAAACACATCTAAATGAGGTTAAATAAGAAATGAAAATGGATTTTGAAACAACAATTTGTAACCAGGAGTATTTCACAAATAATCCAAAATGAAGGGAAAATGTAAAAATAAGTATTCATGGCCTAAACAATTTCCAAGCTTTGCCAAAATGACAGGAAACATAAAAAGCATATTACATATCAATTTCTTATTTTTTGGATTTTTTTATTTCTTTTAAACTTTTTTTAAGGATCCCAAACTTGACCACCAAACTTGCGATGTAACCGAGGTAATCGGCCAGGTAGACTCGGAAACCGACTGGGTTAAAGGAAAACCAGCTGGGTAGTAGAAAAAACAGCCAAGTACGATGCCTATTCAGGCAAGTTAGGAAAGGGGTCTGACCCCTGGTTGTTGGATCCCCTAAACCAGCTAAAAATCAGCTCACCCAGTGGGCGAGTCTGGGTAACCGGCCGAGTCCGGTTTGACCCAGCCAGTTTTTCCTACATTGGTTAAAACTCACCGACTCCGACACTTTTTTATATTATCATTTTCTTTCTTCGATCTCTCTAAAAATTCAACCCTAGCATCTTTTACTATCCTCTAACGGATCCAAAAAATCAGATTCACCCAAAAAACATCAAAAATCTCATATTTGCTAGATGTTCAAGTTTTAAACTACGGTTTGGTCGAGTTCTTTTCATGTTTACTTTTTGCAACCCTAGCTCAATTCACCACAAAAATCTGTCCATATCCTATTTTTGAGATCTCTATCGAATTCAAAGCTTAGGTTGAATCACTGAAAATATAGGATTTACAAAATTTTTGAATATTGAAATAGGGTCTGCCATAAACTTAAGAGCATGGACCAATTAGATCCCAACTCAAACCAAAAAAATCCAGATGTAGTTTAGAGGTTATTTGGAATAGTGTTTAACAACCAGAAGAATCAGACTTGGATTCGCTCGAGTTACTTAGGCTCGGCAGGATATCAGGCCCAAAACTTTCAACACATACTCGGGGAAGTCGATTTGGAATCGCCCAGTCCAAGGACTAAGTACCGCCACCGAGCTGAGTTCAAACCATAGTTAGTAAGTCGGGAATGATCAATACATCGGCTCACCATAAAATCGGAAATAAATCGTTTTCATTTTAAAAAGTCGGATGAAAATATCGAGTCAAAAATATGGTTCGGCAAAAATATTTTATGTAAAAATATCACAACTATATCGGACTATGCTCAAAAAATCGGAGTGAAAAAAACGGACATGTTTAAAATAAAATTAAGTAGAAATTAAAATAAAATTAAGTTGAAATAAAAAATATAATAATAAGTTGCTGATAAATATACGATATGAATTTTCTCATTAAATGCTTTAACAAACATCACACATACTTAGTACATAACACAAAAAAAAAAAAGGGGCAATGTGAGATGAGTAGAATTGAGTTGGGTATATTCATTTCTCTCTCCGTATGATGACCGTCCCTTTATAACCATAGTTAAGCAATGGGAAGATGTACACCTTTTTTGGTTAGACGAGCAACAAATGCAGTAGACCAAGAAGAAACACAGAACAAGAAGATGAGCATTACGCAAAGTGAGAGAGAAGCAAACACAAAATCTTCCATAAAGAAACGCAGAGTGAGCGCGAGAGCATACATAGGCACAGAGAAACAAGATTGGACATAAAATATCAGAGAAGATGAAGAACATGGTGGACATAAACCCTAATCCAAGATTTCCAGTCATGAAATAAGTTTGGGGATTGAGCCCTAATCTGGGTTTTTTTTTTCAGCTTTAGTTTTAGGGATTTACTAATCCAAGATTTCCGGTCATGAATTTGGTTTGGGGATTGAGCTCTAATCTGGTATTTTTTTTTTAAGCTTTTGTTTTAGGGATTTAATATGTTGTACAAATTGGGAGAATCTGGGTCTTTGAGCCCTAATTTGGATGGAATTTTGCCAAGTCAAAATTTGGGAATTTTTTATTCAATGGCTTTTATGGTATTTTATTCTAATTTGATTCAATGGATTTGAGCATAAACCCTAAGATAATATACCCTAACAATATACTTGGGGACAAAAATTTATTTTTTAGAGAAGTTTTTTTTTTTTGGAAATAATATACCTTTTAGAAAGCATGGAAATAACAATTACATAAAACAGGAAAAAAGTTTTCATCTTTTAGAAGAAAAAAAATACAGGTAAAAAAGGCAAAGTTTTTTTGGACCGATTTTTTCATAAAGATCAATAAGGCACGTTTTAAACGTTTATGTGAAAAAATGCGTATTTTTGCCGATCTTTTCAAAAAGTCGCAATTTTAAATGTTTTAAAAAACTTCGTATTTTTTAAAAAGTGGCATTTTAAACGTCGACTTGCTAACTCTGGTTCAAACCATTGATTTGGTAAAAAATTTGAAACTCACATTGATTTGGAAAGCTAGAGGTCCTATTTAGAAAGATTGGAAGTCTCTCTACACCCTGGGATGCATCTTTTGGAAGATCAGCTTTGAAACTGTGGGTATTAATTTTACAATTTAAATCCACCTAAACCAAATTTCTTTGCACAAATGTAACTAGATCTAGTTATAATTTAGTTAATCTTGTAGTTTTATTGCATTCTCTCAAAAAACTCGATAAGGTAAGTTTTTCATTATTTTTATGATTGTTCCTATTTTTGTTTTCTTATTTCCCCATTTTTTCAAGATTTCTTTAGCCCTTTCTGGGGGACTTGAGCAGGACTTGGCTAGTCCACTCGAGACTCGCCAAGCTAATTCACTGAGTCTCAAAGCAAATCCTGATTTAAACATGACAATGTGCAAGTACATGCGTTGCACAAATACTATAACAGAAAAAGCAATGGTGTTTAAACCGGACCGGACCGAACGTTTCTACCATTGAACCGGTGTGTTCTCCTGTCCGGTTCACAACTAATGAACTGTCTAGGTCCAAGATGGGGACAAAAAGATCGTTTCTACCCCCATATTTTTGTTTTTTAAAAGAAAAAGGGTCCTAAGAGTGGGGTTTTCTGTCCTTTTGTAGGGTTAAAACTGTAAAAATTAAACTTGCAGGTGAGGTTTTCTGAAAGAAGCCTCCATATCTCTATTAAAATCTTAGAAAGCTAATCAATAGCACATTAAATAGCTCTCATGAAATAGTTCCATTAAATAAATTGTACCTTTAAATATAACAATTGCAATTAAATATAAGAACGTTATCTAAAAGGATGTGGTTTGTATAGAGCCGAGGCTCTCAAAAATCAAATTAGAGCCCACCTTCAAATAGTGTCAAGAAATGTGGTTTCAATACTGGAAATCTTTATGATGGCCTTAAAAATTATTTTCATCTTTAATTATAAGATTAAAGCTTCAAAAATAGTGTAGATCTAGCAGATATAAGAAAACTTAGAAAATCTTGAAAATTGATGGTCCAAATAAGCATTACAAGATGCACTATTTCGAAAAACTTGAAATCCATTTTTCTCTCATGTCCATGTATCTTGATGTCTAGATGATCAATTTGAGCATATTGGGCATCAAAACAACCTCTTCTAGTGAAATTTTTGAGGTAGGCTCTAATATGATTGTGTAAAGCCTCGGCTCTTCATGAACTTTTCCCTATCTAAAAACGTGCAATTAAATTGCTTTTTAAGAATATAAGAAAGATATTCAATGGCACATTAAGAAAGCTATTAAATGGCACATTCTAAGAACTGATTTTAATAAATATAGTAAATCTATTTAATGGCACGTTCTAAAAACTGATTTTCGTTTTTTGAAATACATTTGCAGCATTCTTTTTCTATTTTTATTTTTCAAATTTTGGTCTAGAAAATTCACAAAAAAATAGAAAATCCACAAAATAGGGAATTAAAAATAGAAATAAAAATAAATAAATAAAGAGAAAACTTTCTATTTTTTGAATTTTTCTGTTTTTATTTTCTGTTTTTCTTAATTTTTTTCCAAATTTTCCATTTAATTAATTGTTTAATATCTTAGACCGGTACGACCAGTGCAACGGTCCGGTTCGGCCGGTCGAACCAAACCTGTGCCTTCACCAGTTCAGTCACTAGTCCGGTCTTGACAACATTAAGAAAAAGAAACAAATATTTTGGAAAAACACCTATATGATCCACTAAGAAGTCCATAAAATTGCTCACAGACATAAGATATAAAATTATTACAAATAAATATAAAGAGGCTGTTTTTTCTCAAAAAAATATAAAGAGGCTGTGGAAACAGTTTTAAGAACTCCAACTCAGTGATCAACTTGGTGTTGACTTATAGAGTTAAACAATTGACGCATATAAACACAAGTGAGTTTTTCAATTGTTTCTGAAGAGGCATAAGAAACAATTGTTGTTTGTGTTGGGATTCAAATCCGGCTCGTCAGCAAGACCAAACCATATCACTACCAATTCAGAGTAGCTAGCTACATTGGGGAACAACACACACACAAGAATATATGAAAAACTCGGATATGCCAGAGTTTTTCATTTATAAAATGTGGCAATTGGCCAAGTCTAATTGACTTGTAAAGTTTTCCAAATTCAAAATGATAAATTTATTTACAGCTAGGACACAACAAGACCAACAAAGGGATGTTAGCTTTAGTCATTTCTAGTGTTATTCATAGAGAGAGGAAAAAGAGGGGAGGGGGGGTGTTCTATTGGATTCAATGGTCAAGAACAAAAATGCATGTTAGGCGTCCCATGGGTATTTAAGCAAACTAAAGGCATTTTTGTCCATTTTCAAAGTTATTTTTTATTTTCTTTTTATGAACTGATAGAAATGGATCATCAAGATAAAGAGAATAGATCTTTCTTTGCCCGCTCTTAAAATAGGTAGAAAATCATAAATCCTAGGGACTTGCTAATCACTGAAGAAAAAAATGCAAGGGACGAACCTAAGGTAGATAAAAAACAGTGTGAATTTCACTCCTTCACACAAAAATAACACCACCATAAATGACTGCATTCAGTGACAAAGATGTGAAATACTAGTTAACATCTCAGTCAAAAAAAAAAAAGACAAGCATAAACACTGAACAAAATACAGCGAACACATGAACAACACAACAGTGTATAAGACTAAGGAGAACAAACATGTTTTTTTACTAGTGCATAAATAGAATGAAAAAAAACACTTTCCATGTCATCAAGATGCATCAATAGCTATAGTTATCTTCTCTCAAAAACAAAAAGATGCATCAATAGCTAGAAACAAGACCTTGGGTTGGATAACATATCGAGCATGCCATTCAGACCACTGCTGCAAAAGTTCGTTCAGCTTCTTTTTGCTATCCCTGGTTAATACGGGAAGTGTAATAATGGAAATGAAAAACCCAACATTGTAAAGTAAAGTTTAAAGCAAAACCTAAACAGAATTTCCGAATTTCTCATTATGCCCTAATATGTAGATATCTGATAGTAAAAATAGAAACAACAAGTTCTCCAATATCAACCTTGTTAGGCAGTTATAGAGGACACGGACAGAAGGTTGCTGCTCCACATATGAGAGGCGGCGTCCCTTAACACCTGATATGGCTGCAGTTCACGAATAAAGGAAATCTCAAAAGCAGGATGCAACCAGGTATGAGGCCAGAAAACATTGAACAACGAGAGATTTAGAACTCTGCCTACTCAGGTTCAGACTCGCCTAAGTCGCTTTCCAGTCAAAAAACTCAACACTTGTGCAGGTCTCACATGGTCCTGGACCCTGATGTGTTATTTTCACAGAGACTCGGCCAAGTCATGTTAAGACTCTGTCAGGGCGACAGACTGGCTAACCATGGCTCAGGACCCTAGAAAGTCCAAGCCTGAGTCCATGTTTTTAATAACTAATACAAGCAAACAAAAAATAATGTAATTGAACTGATTCTTGCTATATTGTATAGGGGTAAACAACGTATGCACATGCATGTGAGTGTGTCTAGGCATGGGAAATGGGACACTATAAACACACACGCATGTATATGCAGTGTGTAAAGTATAGATGTAACTATAACCATAAGGACAAGATGCTACCAAATAGTTGTCTTCCCATGCCAATTCAATGGATGATTTACTTTTTAGAATAAGGTAAAATAAAAAAGAATTGGCAAATCAAAATAAGCAGCAAGGACATATGGATCCACAACTAGTAGTTAGGATACGACTTTCATCCATTTTATGGTTATTCAAAGTTCCATTGCTCAGGGTAAGAGGGTCTGCATTTCCATCCTCTGAATTGAACTCTAACCTCTTCTCATCCAACACCATAGGAGGTGGAGTTAATTCCATACTCTCCTGCATGTTGTGCTTATCATAAACTTCATCCCCCCGACTACCATCTACGGAACCCCCATCGTCCTCTTGTTGATTACAGTTTAGAGCAATACTACTTGGTTCCAAGCTAGAGTCATGTAAACCATCACTGTCCCTCTCAATATCGGCCGAGCTGCATGGCTGAAGCTCTATAAATTCCTCGGATGCCATGTTTAGATGAAGATTTGATGTCTGCAACAAAAAATAGCTTGAGAACAAAATTATTTCGGTTAGCAAACTATTACAGTGATATCAAAGGGAGCCTAAAGGGATCAGTGGCACACCTATTAAAATTTCCTGGGAAATTAAATCCTAATGTTATGGATTGTGTTTTAAGAAGTTTATGTTATACTTCTTGACAAATAAATTACAGAACCAGCAAAAATTAATGTGAGGCTCCTTTGATCAAATCATGGGTGGGCCAAACTTGTGAAACGCAAGCATAGATGGAACATGCAGGAGCGAAGTGTCCACCACAGCCATATATCCTCGACATTGCAATAAATATCTCCTTAATTCACAGGCATAATGAATCTTACTCTTGATATTTTATGAAACGACCTAAAACTTTCAGAAAATAAACAAAGAGATGACCATGTTACAGAAAGGAATTTTAGTACCTAGGCAAAAACCTAATTCTCTTCATAAATTCTAGAAAGATGGTGCAGCTAAAGAAGGCTCTCAAAAAGCAAAATGCCTCAATAGAAAGAAGGGAAAATATGAAAAGCAAAACTATCAAATAAGCAGACATAATCATCAATCACAACAATAAAATTTATTCAACTAAAACTACACATGAAAAAGCAATCCAAGAACGTGGTACATGAATGGATCGATTAATTGGGGCTTTCAGGGGATTTTAGGGATTTCTTAATTAGGGCTTTCGAGGGATTGTACCTCACGCTCTATAGCAGAGAAACTAGGATTTACTGCAACTGATAAAGAAACAGGAAAGATTGTGGTGTTGCCAAAATCACCGCGCGCCACTCCCTACCAAAGTTTGAATATATAGTGGAGAGAGAAAACATTGTAGTAAATATACCACATGCCAATCGAAATTCGAAACAATTCAGTAGGAGAGAGAAACCAAATCTCCAACTATATTATCAATTAAAAGGACAGAGTGAGAGAATCATCATCTGTGAATCCATATATACTTCTCAATCGTCAGAACAGTTTTCCAAGTCTGCTGAAGCTCTCTCATGGGAGGAGGCCCATTTCCCCTTGAATAAAACGACCCCCTTTATGCCAAAAGATTTTTATACTCCTATGGGAGTATACTTTCTATTTACTCCTCTCTAACTATGGGATGCAACCCTCTCCAACTCGCAAAGTTCCAAATTAAAATCTTATATATATATAAATGTTAGAAACAAAAATGTCTCAAGATTGAACAACGACTATCCAATTTGTGAAAGGCAATATCTAAACAATCCAAGAACTCAAAATTATTTTCTTTTTTTAAAAAAAAAAAATAGCTTAGTGATTTTTAGGCAATTTCCAAATTTAGGTTAAAAAATCCTCCAAGAAGTTAAGTGAAGGAGTAGATTCACATTATTGTTCTTGGGAGAGCATAGTATATGTGTTCTTTATTTATTTGAAAATTTATTAGGGACCCAAAATAATTTTTGGTACTCCATGTTTTATGAGTAGGGCTAGCGAAGGGCTGGGTGGCATGGCCCATTCGAGCCAACTCTAAAAAAAAAATTGGGCCTGTAACTATAGCTCGAGGGGTGGGGTGGGCCTAGTGCCGATCCAGGCTAGCCCTTTTTTGTTATTATTTTTTCATTATTTTTGCATCATTTTATTCTTGCCTAGCCCCTGCACTAACAGGGCTAGGACCCAGCCAGTTTCCATCCTTATTTAGGAGGTGAGATCCAAAATTTTCATTATTTTCCCCGATCTAACTATGTAATCTCCTAAAGCGCAAACGGGTATAAAAGTTAAAAATTTGAATCATTCGAAAACAATGAAAATAAATAAATAAAACCTATTTTCAACCTTTTGAACCATTCAAATACAAAATAAATATTTCGGCAACTCATAAAGTTAAACTTCATAATTGCCCAAAATTCTTCGTTCTTTTTTATGCTTATATCAATTGGAAAGTTGCACTTCTAACTGTATGCTTAATTTCTTCTTTTTTGGGTTTGCACATTTGAACAACCAAAACACTAGTTTTTTTGTGTTTTGGGTGGCTGGAAAGTTTGAACCTCCAATTTACCCAAACAATATTTTTATGTTTTTTTTTTTGGGGCAATTTAGTGGGGGTGACAGGCCCTACCCATTTTTTCAAATAAATTAGGAGTTAGCTTTTTGAAGGTATTCGTGGGGTAGTGTTAGTAGTGCGAATGACAACCACAATGTAATAACGAGAGTATGGGGTGCTACCACCACGACTCAAAGCCCTTTCCTATATATTTTTTATGTTTTGTCCTGGCAAAGAGTTGGCCTCTTAGACTAGGAGAGAAATGGAAATATAAAAGCTTACAAACTTTGAACCTTACCACAAAAAATTATCATTCTCTAATAGGTGTAGCTTACATAAGGCGCGTACCTCAAACAATCAAAGCAATGCACCTTCAGTTCTCATGTTAAAAACCCTCAGTATGGCTTGGACCACCTCTAATTATAAAATCCAAAACTAAAAAAATGGTACAAATAAAGCATACTGAAAAACTATTTAAAATCATGAAAATAGACAAATCAAATAACATGTTATAAGATGTACTATTTTTAAATTTTAAAATCCATTTATTTTTCAAATCCATACATCTTGAGGTCGAGATAATCAATTAGAGAGTTTTCTAGCACCAAAAAACCTTTTATGATAGATTTTCAATATGTGCCTCACATCTATAATATAAGAGGTCGTGACCACATAAAAACTGTTTCCTTCTTTAACAATGAAACTTACGTTGGGTCCTCCATAAATTCACTTATCTTTTGGATATGTAATTGTTCATCTACCTTTTATTTTTGCTTTTTAGAGAGTTAACAATGGATGTGTAATGTCATTTCCAAGCCATTCATTTAGGGCCCATTTGGTTATTGGATTCAGATTTTCAGGAGTCACTTTTTCTGAAAAAGCTAGCCAATCGTGTTTGGTTTGCTTAGAATTGACATTTCCATTGGAATTGAGATTTATGTTGAATTCCTCGATGCTCATTTTAAGCTTAAATTTTGGAAATCTCAATTCCACCAAAATAGGAGAAATTGACATTTCATGGAAATGATTCACTTTGCTGTTGAAGAACAAAAAAAATCAAAATTTTAAAGAGAGAAACTATATCAAATTTCAAAGAAAGAAAACATATTAAAATTTTAGAGAGGGAAACTATATCAAATTTTAGAGAGATAAAATATACAATTTTTTTTAGAGAGATAAAATATACAATTTTTTTAGTGAGATAAACTATAACAAATTTGTAGAGAGAGAAACTAACTCAAATTTAAAGTTTTAGACAGACCAAGTTAAAATTTTAAATAGAGAAACTATCTCAAATCTTAAATTTTAGAGAGAGAAGCTACATTAACTTTTAGAAAGAGGAACTACTTAAAATTATGTGGAGAGAATATCTCAAAATATGTAGAGAGATAAATGATCTCAAATTTTAAATTTTAGAGAGAGATAGCATACTAAAATTTTAGAGATTAGAAACCGTATCAAATTTTAGATAGATAACTACCAAAAATATTTAGAGAGAGAAACTATCTCAAATTTTAAGTTTTAAAGAGATAAAATATCTTAAAACTTTAAAGAGATAAACTATGTCAAATTTTAGATAGAAAATGTACTTGAAATATTTAACGAAATCAACTATTTTAAAAAATTAAAAAGATAAACTATCTCAATTTTAAAGTTTTAGAGATAGAAAATATTAAAATTTTAGAGAGAAACGGTTTCAAATTTTAAATTTTAAAGAGAGAAAATGTCTAAAAACTTTAGAGAGAGAAACTATGTCAAATTTTAGATAAAGAAAGTGCCTAAAAATTCGAGAGAGAAACTATTTGGAAAATTTTAGATATAAAAACTATCTCAAATTTTAAGTTTCATAGAAATCATATATTAAGATTTTAGAGATAGAAACTACCTGAAAATTGTAAAGAGAAACTATCTCAAAATTTAAGGTTTAGAGAGATAAAGCATATTAAAATTTTAGAGAGAGTAATTATATCAAATTTTAGAGTGAGAAAACACTTCAAATTTCTTAGGGAGATAAACCATCTTAAATTGTTTAGATAGAAACTATCTCAAATTTTAAGTTTTAGATAGCTTAAATACCTCATAATTTTAGAGAGAGAAACTATTCATATTTTAGATAGAGAACTACCTTAAATTGTTTAGGAATATAAACTATCTGAAATTGTTTAGAGAGATAAATTATCTCAAAAATTTTATAGAGAGAAACCATCACCAATTTTGAGTTTTAGAGATAGAAAATATCTCAAATTTTTAGAGACATAAACTATATCAAAATTTAGAGAGAGAGAGAAAGTATCTCAAACTTTGTAGAGAAAGAAACTATTTCAAATTTTAAGTTAGAAAGAAACTATTTCAAATTTTAAGTTTTTGAAAGAGAGTGTATTCAAATTTTAGAGAAAACGTTAATAAGAAAAACTATCTCAAAAATTAGAGAGAGAGAGAGAGAGAGAATTTGCATTTCCAAAAAAAAAAATTCCAGACAATCCAAGCAGGGAATTTGTATTTTCTTGATTTCTTTTGGATGCAATCCAAACAGAGAATTAACATTTCCAGGAAATCTCAAACCCAGGATTGAAAATCCAGGGATCCAAACGGGCCCTTAGGGTGAGCTTTTCCTGTGACTTTGAGCGCATATGTGATTTATAATGTATTTCAAGATCGATAGTTTTGAAGAGATTCATTGCATGGATGAGAATATATATCAACAATATTAATGAATGTTGTGACAAAAGATATATGTATATACACTTACTGCTGTTGTTTCAAAACTCATATCGGTGGGGCAGATTGTTCACCCACATATTTACATGGAATGGTTGAATCGATGATTTGGATAAAGTCGGGATGGATGATCCCATAATCAGGTTTTGGATTGCTTACCCAATTTGTCTCATCTAGGATTAGTGTGGATGGATGATCCCATAATCAGGTTTTGGATTGCTTACCCAATTTGTCTTATCTATAATGTGAATAAGTCGAGTTGGTAAAAGATAGTTAAACTAATAAAATAACAAAATTAGAGGGATTGGGGAGAGGAACCTAGATCCACAACCCCGATTGACAATTCTTTTTCCAAAATGCCAGGTATTAAAACCCCACATATATAATAAAGTTGTTCTATTTCCATATCTCATGACACAACAAGAAGGATACAAAGGCATTGTTCCAAAGAAGCAATAAACCTCCACAACAATGGAATGAGCTATCTTATTCTTTACCATCTTTTGTGATATGGGTATGTATACTATGGTCATCGGGTGTATAGTTTCTGATGATCTACTTGCGACGATTTTTTAATATGAAATTTTGGTAAGGAGAATCACTAATGATTATTTTTTAAAAAAATGATATTTGAGTTTCTAACACTTAGATTGTAGCATTTAAAAATTAGATGTTTAATATTCAAACTTGAGACATTAGTTTTTAAAAGTGCATAGAGGGTGCAACTAGGGAAATTTTTTTATTGATGTTAATCCATGTCTTAAAGAGGTTATATCCCGAAAATTTGAGTTCCTAAAATTTTTTTATTGATGTTAATCCATGTCTTAAAGAGGTTATATCCCGAAAATTTGAGTTCCTAAGACTAATTATGGGGTTTAACCCTAGGGAGTATAATATCTTATGGGCTTCTAATAAAAATGCCTTTTTGGTTTATTTGACATGATATCCACCTCTATCATGGAGTGGCAGCGAGATAATGTCTAAGGCGATTATTTTTATTTTTATTTTTATTTTTTAGCGTGTATATTATGTTTCTGCAGGATTATACTGTATATTTATTCAATCGGGGGAAAGATATTCTGACTTTTTCAATTTGAAATTTTGGGAAGCACTTAAGAAACCCTGGACAATTACTTTGAAAATAATAGATTTTTTATTATAGATCTCACCCTCGAAAAATCAGAAGATCTTTGTTCAATCTCTCTCATGTCACCACCCATAGTGTCGCAGCACTGGATTGAGTGACTATCCAAATGCACTTGCTTATTTTTTATTCCATTATTGTATTATACATTAACATATATTCAGC